ACCGACACATATACAACTAACAGCGATGCATCATCAAAAGCCGCGTTCACAATTCCAGTGAGATGCAGTGCAGGCAAATATATGAGGAAATGACTTCCTCAGCTCGCGGTGCAAAAGGAGCGGGCAGAGAGGGTTGTCGGAGGAGGTGATTCTCGTGCAAAGGCCGGGGATACCAGTGACACGAGGCACGTGGCATAGGGGGGCACGAGGAGCAGCCCAGCCAGCCCAGAGGGATCTCAGAGAATCGGGCAGGGATAGGAGTTTGAGATCACACTCTGAATGTCTTTGAATACTGTATCAGGATAAAGAATATTTTAGAGCAGGCCCCACTTTCCGGAACTGATTCTAGAATTTACAAGATAATGAAATGTATAGCGTGTGATCAGAAGATCAGCGAATGTTAAATTTTTGTTATGTGATTACAGCAAAAGACACCTTACCATTGATCCCGGTCAAAATCCTCCCCTCACTTGGAAAACACTTGTCCCCGGGGGTTTCTGTGAGGGGCGCTGTCCTGGATGCCACAGTGCCCTGGCCTGATTCAAAACGTTTACCTTTCACTTTGACCCTGAGAAAAGAGCCAGAAGTCTCATGGTGCCAGGTTGGGTGAAGAAAGTGGGCGAGGGTGCCCGTGCTGTCCACGAGCGTGGGTGCCTTTTGTGGAGGGGTACAGGCCGGCAGCCTTCGTTGTATCTTTGGTCGTCACCATTCATAGAGACACTGGTGACAGGGGACTTCTAGAGCTACTTCAGAAAGTGATCGGAATGATGGATGACTGAGTGTGTTCAAAGCGACGGCTGGCTGTGTCTCTTTTACTGTAATTATTTTTTATTTAAACATTCAGCATGTATTTTCATTTTTAAACATTTTTATGAGTGTGCGTTCGCTGTACATAATGGTCACATCCGTCACAGGGAGTTGATGCACCGACTCACGCATCCTCATCGTGTGCCCTCTCCTCTCCGCTCCCTCACCTCTCACCGTATGTGTGACCACACCTCCTGCGGGCCCCAACACGACTGCCCAGGTGTCCTTCGTTTTAAATTCCAAAGCCAAGAGGCCGGGGCTGAGATCCAGGTGGGGCAGAAGCACCCCTGTGTGGCCCGGCTCCCCGGGAAGGTCGCCTCAGGCTGGCTGTGGCCTTCAGACAGTTCTGCTTCCCCAGAGCCCTGCAGCTGGGTGTCTGCGAGGACTCTTTCTCCTGGGTGAGGGGACAGCAAGGCCATCCTAGAGGATTGGCAGAGAAGATGGACCGGGCAGAAGGCAGGGTCTCAAGGGAGACGCGGGTCTCTTGGATGCCTGAGTCTCCGCTTCCCTTCTGTGAATGGGACCGGCCTGAGGAGGCTGCTGTCCTGACTGACAGAGGTGCTCGCTTCGATTCTCAGCACTGCAGGCGTCCTGCGAATGCACTCCCCTCGTCCTCTGCCCTGACTGAGAGGAACGGGAAGTCTGACCGGAAGTCCCTGGGACCCCTGTGAATCCAGGGTGCAGCGGGTGTGTGCCAGGGATGCTGCCCCTCCAGAGGCTCATGGGCTCTGGCTTGTTACTGGGCCAACGAAATGCCGTCTGAAGAGAATTCCTTCTGGGCATCAGCGTTTCTGAAGCCCTTTCCCGGATCCAGCGTTCGAGACTCCGCTGTTTGTAAAGGTGCCTTCCCCATCCTCTGCGGGTGTTCCTGCTCTGTAACTGGGCTATGTACCCAGGGGCCGGCTGCGCCAGCCACACCTGACGTAGCTGAAGTTTAGGCCTAGTTGTATTTTTTCTTCCAACTCCAGAGGCTACATATTCTATTTCAAGCAGGCACACGTACACAAGGCAGATGTGGGGATAAAACCCAGGCCCTTTGGGGGCGGGAGACAGTGATAATAGACCTGGAACAAGGCCAGAAGTGGATGTGTGCAGCGGCCTCACCCAGGGCCCAGTCCGCCCAGGCGTCAAGTGACGTTTTGGCCTTCCCTACGGCATTAGCGGTCCTCCGGGACGGTCACCATGCCTGGAGTTTGGGGAGAAACACTGCGCAATCTGTGATCCTGCAGCCCTGGAAGATTTTTCTCTGCAATCAGAGCGATGTGTTGTAACCACATGGAGGCTCTGGAAAACTTGCTTCCCGAGGAAGCTGAAAGGCAGAACTGGGATGAGTGGGGGTTACTTATGCCCAATGCAAAAGAGCTACTCTGCTCGAAGAAGCAGCCACCCAGAGCCATGTCTAACAAGTACGCAAAGTAACCCTGAGGCTACTGTGCTGTTTACGTCATCTAGCAGAAGCTCTCAGGGCTCTGACACATGATATGCCTTCCTGGTGACTTCTAAATAATGTATTTATTCACTCAACAAATGTTCATTGAGAGCCTGTTATGGACAGTCATAGGTATGAAGAACAAGCGAACACAATTTTTAAAAAAAATCCCCGATCTCATAAAACTGACATTCTAGCAAGAAACACTGACAGCAAACAGTGCCAAGAATTAAAGTAGGAATTATAACATATGGTGTAAAACGCTAAGGAGCAGGAAAAAAGCAAGGATCCGAGGTATGAAGTAATAGGGAGAGGGCTGCTGAAATTGTTGGCACAGTGGCCAGGGAACCTCACTGGAGACTTCTCCAATTCCTGAGCAGTGGCCAGAATGGGCACAGGACGGAAACTGGTACCTTGGTCTTGGTGCCCGGCTGCCGTGGAGAAAGCAGAGGCCTCCATCATGCCGTCCCTTTCTAAGCGACCCCGCTGCCTCCCCCGTCTCGGGAGGCTGGAGGCGCTTCTGCTTTTCCCTTGTCCCTTTGCAGTGTCTCGGTGACAAGCCAGAACGCGTCGGTGTTTCGTGGACCTTTTCCATCTGCCCTTTCGTGTACTTCAGTTTCGGGGAGCAGAAGGAAAGTCTTAGGACATTTTTCAGGAAACTCTTTCCTGCTCTCTTCTACCCAAATCCCCCTCGCTCAGGATGCAGATGCTCTGATTCCGTTCTCTGGTTTTGTACGGTTCTCCTCCACGTTCTGGATTTCACCGACTTCCTCTCCCCCGACCTTTCCATCCCTGTTGTGTGCTTCCCAGAGCTCACTGCTACTCTGTGCAGGTTGCCCTGTCCCAGCCTGCCTCATCCCTTCTGAGTCTCTGTTTCCTGTCTTTTGGGTTATCTTCTTTCGTGTTAGAGCCTTTTATGAAACGTCTGCTCGTCCTTGGAAGCCTATTAATGTATGCATGAGGTGAGGTCCTACCCATGGGAGGCGTCTATAGACGGTGAGCCATGTGGCTGTTTCACCATGGGGCAAAGAGATGGACTCCGAACACCGCTTTCTCCTGGCCCGGTCCGCCTGCTCAGGGCTTCTCCAGTTCCTGACTGCAGGGTCCACCCAGAGCCAGCATCAGACCAGCCTTTTCCCCTGTGCCTGGTGCACCAGAATCTGACCTTTGACTGGAGGGCGTCCATCTCCTAATGTGGATGCACCAAGGAGGGGTTCGTCGGCCGGGTGGGGTGGAAAGGAAGAGAAAGAACGACATCTGGCTGCACCACTGGGAAAACACAAAGTTCAGTCATGCCTCATGCTCATGACTCGCGCTGCATTCCTGTCTTCAGGAGGGCCTGGTGCCTCGGTTCCTGAGCTTCTCCAGCTCGGTGCATAACATGGAGCTCCTCCCTTAAAGATGTGGGGGTCAGCTTTCCCTCATCTGCTGTTTTTTTCATTACTTTGGTTCTTTGATTTATGCCATTTTAAATTCTTCATTGTCATTTTAATGGAATGTAGACAAATAGATAAATTTGGTATATGAGCTGCCATAGTTAGCCGGAAGTCCCTGGAGTGTCTTTTTAGTCTCTCCTGGTAGAGCTTATTCTAGGAGCGGCCATCCGCCCTCAGTGGATGCTCAGTGAGACTCAGATTTGAATGCAGTGTAGGATCTTAGATTTCCAGTTCCAGTTGTCTATTTCCAAATAACAAATGGCCAGAGACACGGTGGCTTGAAACAGCACCATTCACTTACTGGCTTATCGATTCTGCAATGTTAGCTGTGTTTGGAGGGGCGCCTTGTTTCTGTATGGCATCAGCTGGATTAGCTACCCGGGGCTGAGGAATCCATTCTCACTCACGTGATTGACCAGTGGTTCTGGCATAGGAAGGTCCATAACTGGAGCAGTTGGACAGGTCTTTGTTTCCTACCCATGTGGTCTCTCCACGTGCCTAGGCTCAACTCCTGAAAGCCAGGTTCCAGAAGGGGACATCCCAAGACCCCGCTCCCCCAGGGGACAGATGATGTGAGCAGCGTCACGTCCTCCTTTTGTATCACACTTGTTAATTAATGTAAATCATATGGCCAAGCCCAGCATCAGCGTGGAAGGGACTGTGCTTTACTGGGCCATGAAACATGAGGAGATGGTTCACCGGGACCATGTACCCCTTGGAACTCTACCATTATTCTGTGGTTCCGTGCCTGCATTTTCTTTGTATTATTGTCTTGTACCACATCATTTCTGAAATATCGGCTGCCAGACTCTTCTCCCAGATAGTTGAATATGATACAGGCATTCAGTAGCTACCTATGAAAGCCACAGGAATATGGTAGCATTTCCATTTAAAATGTTTCTGAATGGGCTACAAAGAATTAAGCTCTATAGCTTGCCCGTTGCTATAATGGTTGTGTTCCCGGTTAATAAAAGACATGGAGAAAGTGATCCTACAGGGTCAGAGTCCTAAACACACCTTCCAAGGGAATTAAGTGTTGCCTTTTGCCTTAGGCTGCCAAAGGTAATTCGCTTCTGGTCCTTCTGGTTTTAAAATAGTGCAAAATGAGCCTCTTTTATACCTACCTGGACTCCAAAGAATAAAAGTGATTTCTTTCCCACAGTAGATATGCAGCACATTTCTTGGGAAATCTAAATGTACGCGCCTTGACACATGCTTTTCAAGCTTTTCCTAACCGTGTATGGATGAAGATAGGAGCGCTTGGTTTACCTACCGTGTCCAAGAGTCTTGCCCTGTGGTTGACGCCTGTCTGTCCCCTTTGCCTACAGGAGTTCTCTATCTCCAGTACGGAGATGAAACCAAGCAGCTCAGGATGCCGAACGAAGTCACGAGCGCAGACACGATCCGCGCGCTCTTTGTAAGTGCCTTTCCCCAGCAGCTCACCATGAAAATGCTGGAGTCGCCCAGTGTCGCCATTTACATCAAAGATGAAAGCAGAAACGTCTATTATGAATTAAACGATGTAAGGTAGGTAGTCACATCACTTAGTTGTTTCGGTCTTCTGTGTTGCATGGAGAGTTTGTTTGTTTGTTCTCCACTGTATTGTATTTCCAAGGTGTTTGGACCTGACCACCGTATTGCATTGCTAGAATCCGCAGAGTCCCCTACTTTTTGTTCACCCAGTATGGTGATCAGCAGGATTACCTGATACGGGTGTGATTCCACTGTCTAGCTTTTCTAAGTTCATTTACAAGATACAGTTTACAAAGGCAAGGGCATAGCTCATCCCCATAGACCTTGGAATGTCACATCAGATCTTTAGTGTCATATCTGTAAAGAAGGAAGAAATAATCTGGCTCACCATCTTATCTAAAAGTTAGCAGGCCGGGCATTTAGCTCAGTGGTTCTGCCGCCTTCCTCAAAAGAGCAAGGTCCTGAGTTTGATCCCCGGTACCAAAAAAAAAATAAGTAAATAAATGAATAAATAATAGTTAGGGAAACCAAGGCCCAGAGGGGTGGTGGAGAGTGAGAGAAGAGTTGAAAGCAAACTTTCCCTCACTGCCAGAGCCTGTGGCTGTCTTAGGTAGTGATCCTCCTGGATCGTTAGCAGTTTGGTGTTACTGCTCAGAAGAGGCTGAGACAACCTATCCTCACTTCCCACTTCCTGTTAAGGACCTGTCTTTCACCCAAGGGCCTCGTCTTGCAGGTGGGCTTTCTCCAGTAATTCTGGCTGGATCTGTTCTAAAATGAGGCCAAATGGTCTCATGCTACCATAAGTGGCAAGGAAACAAAGCACTGTTACTGACTGCAGTGACTGGGGTCACTGCCTACACAACAGAAGGGATCCATTGGAAAGGTCCCAACAAAACCACCTGAAGCACAGATGCAAGTCAACACAAACAAGCACCTGCTAGCACGGCCTCCAGATGTTGTAGATCTTGAAAGATTATTTAGTGACTCATCCAGACCTTTTACTTCCTAGGACCAGAATCTCAGGTACATCAAAATTAAGGGTCTTATTCAAAAGCACAGCCAGTTAGGGGCCCCAGACTTCACTATTCCAATGCTGAGGCAGCCACCTGGGATGGACCTAGGGGTTTCTGCCCTGTGGGGACAGCAAGCTCTCCTGTTTCTTTGCTGTGGAAAGAATGAGAACCACTTTTTAAAAATGTGCCTCTAGAGTATAATAAGTGTAAACTGATAAATATCTAACAACCATCACAGATGACGTGGAGGTGCTTTGCCAGGGTGTCTGAGTAACTTAGGGCTTTCAGCGTCTGACATAAGCCCTGAGGTCTAGGTGTCACCTCTGTTGCACAACTTCCTGCTTTATAAAAGTGAGTCTAAATATTCATGAGAATCAGGAAATTCGTACTTGGTTTGAAATAAATTATTAATCAAGCTGTAAAAAAAAAAAAAAAAAAAAAAAAAGAGCAGCAGGGTCTCCAAATGTCCAGTTGAGACTGACCTGGAACTCACTATGTAGACCAGGCTGGTCTCAGACTCACAGTGATCCTCCTGTCTCAGCCTCCCGAGTGCTGGGATTACAGGCCTGCGCCACCACACTCGGCAAAAACAACTTTTTTTAATTTACAAAGCATAAACTCACACCCCAAATAATCACATTGTATTTGAGGAGTGTGTTTGCAGTAATGTTATCCCATGCCGCATTTTCACATGGACGTGCCATTTTGCAGCAGTCACTTTCTATTCCTGCATTTACCGTCAGAGGCATTGAGGGATACGGTGATGGGAAATAACCGTGAAACCGAGCAAAGCCACTCTTGATTTTGGAATTTAAGTTGCGAGCAACAGCCAGCACTCTGGCAGCCTGTGTACGCAACCCCACATTACAGTGAGCTACCGTTTCTGAAACCCTGTCCAAGCCTCAGACTTCAACTCCTTTGATTCCCCTTTCACATTCTTTGAGAAAATAGTCACAAAGAAGCTTCAGGGGACAGGAGGAAAGAGGCCATGAGAATCTTTCTTTGTCGAAATCTAGTGGACCAAAGTGATGAAAACAGCACTCTAGAGGTGATTGCTCCCGACATGAATAATCCTGATCTGCATATATGTTTATATTTGTGAGAATGATAATCTTGTTGATCTTTCAGCTGTGGTACTGACTACCTGACTCTCTTAAAAGTCTTTAAAATGCTTAAATGGAAAGTTATTCATTTATAGTTTTACTTGTTAGTTTCTTTGATTTAAATATAAAAATATCTAAAATGTCCAAGTGGAGAAAATATTTTAATTTAACAAGGAATATATTTATGGTAAATGATTATACATATCCTTAAATATTCTATTTTTGTTTGTTTGCTTTTCAGCAAGATGTTTCATTTATATATATTTTTGGAATGGTGGAAGAAATTTTCACAAGCATTATATAAGACAAGATAAAGTATTCTGTAGGTTTTAACTGAAGGCAAGACGCTAATCTTCTAAACTTGGAGACAGATTTTCTTTCCGATCCTTCATTGTTGGTGAGGTGGCAGCGCTGTGCCCCTTACATCCATTTGGGCATATTTCCTTGGGAAATGGTGCCCCATGTTCAGGTCGAAATACCACTCTGTAAACATTGCCACAGTTCTTGCAGTCTGGCCTTTTACTGTGGGTTCATCTCAGATGAACACGTTTCTGAATTAATCATAAACCAAATTCATGCATTTTTAAATACCTTTACCATGGCAGGAAGTTTTTTTTGGGGGGGGCGGGGGGGTTGTGAGGTTTCTGTTTCTCCACAGAGTCACAGGTGGCTGCAGCCCAAGGAGGGGGCTCCTTTAGTGAACTCCCTGCCTTACCTCTGTGACCCTCCCTTCTTAGCCCAGCCCCTTTTAACAACGAGGGTGGGCCACCCCCTCCCTCTCCAGCGACTTCTAATGAGGCGCCTGAAATGTAGAGAAACCATGCAAGCTTGGGCTAGTCATGGCTTCAAAGCAATGGCTGGGGGGTGTTTAAAAGAGAAACGAGAGTAGTGCAAGAATCCTCTGCTTCGTTAAAACAAAGGCCCGAATGGGAAAGCCCAGCGAGTAGGGTCTGCCCAGCTACTGTGCGGCTGCATGTGGAAGAAGCAATCGGTCCTCCGCAACCCTTCCTGAAGGAGTCCCAGCTCAGGTGGGGCTGGAAGGGCGCTGGGTGCCCTCCTAAACCGCCTGTAGAGGGAGAAGTGCTGTGTTGACACTCATGTGCCCCTAAATAATTTTAAGGTAGGCTTTGAGCAAGTTGTGGGACTTCTGTCTTTTACTGCAGTATGAATCACTGGTCGTAGGAGCTGGGTTCAAAGGAGAAAAGAGGGTATTTTGCTGTTTCTTTACATCCCATAATTCAATTTGTATGTAGAGAAGGTATTTTGAAAAACCCACTGTAGAAGGGGGGAAAAGCATTGCAAAGATAGTAGTTTTGATCTCCGTAGTACTTTTTTCCCTAGACTCCATATGCATTGTGTTTCCTTTGATGAGCATGTAGAAAGGCAGGAGAGGGGAGCTGTGTGTGTGTGTGTGTGTGTGTGTGTGTGTGTGTGTGCGTGCGCGCGCGCGCGCACCCACCATTCATTAGATAAGCAGCAAACCAGGTGTTTGGGCAAAGCAAACAATTAAATATTAACTGAGTCTCTTTGAACGTATTGTAAATGTTGGAGCTTTATTGTTTTTTGAAAGCATTGGTTTTCCATGCTCGTAATCTTGAAAGTCCCTGTTACCTGATATTTACAGGGGAAAGGCTGCACTGAAAGAATAACACTTTCCTGAGGAATGAGACACAGGAAGAAAGGCTGAAGTCATTTTTCTTCCTCTTTTCCTTCTTTATGTCTATCGTATGGTGAAAGGACTTTTGTCTGGTTTACGGTAAAGGTTGCTAGTTGTCTGAGTGTGGTTGTTACCTGGTCCGTAAGAGCAGACAGAGGAAATGGCCAAAGTCAAACTTCTTTCGTCTGCCATAGTTATTGATGTTTTTGATTCCAGGAATATTCAGGACAGATCTCTCCTCAAAGTGTACAACAAGGATCCTTCGCATGCGTTTAATCACACACCAAAAACCGTGAATGGAGACCTGAGGGTAAGCATTGCGCTTCTGTTTTTGCTTTTCCCCTCATCCCTCTTCTCATTCCTGTTTCCCCAAAAGTCCCAGCCCCCCACCCCCACCCCCCATCTGCTACTTTCTCTGGTTCTCACAACTTTTCCTGTCTGGTGACTCATTGTTTGTCCTTTGGTAGAGAAATAATGTTTCCTGGTCATTAGGACAAAAGGGATTAAAATGAGGTTGGATGCACCTTAATTCACCTTTGAGCTTGGGGGCAGACTGATGGATTGATTGAGTGATTGATTGATTGATTGGAAGTCCTGGGGATTGACTGCAGGGTCTCCCACATTCTGGGCAACGGCTCTACCACTGAGCTGCATCCCAGGCCCTAAGCACAGAGCTTAGATAAATTCTCCCTCCAAGGAGATCCTGAAAATCTTCATGTGAAAGATCCTGCCATAGTACATGAACTCACTCAGAGGCTCTCTTGCCATTTTTTTTCTCTAATGAATGAAAACAAAACTAACTTACAAACAAACCAAAAATGCACAAGTTGCGTGGAAAAAAATCTGTTCATGTTCTTACCTTATCCAAATTGTAGCGTTCTCATTCAATAACTCGCCTTCTAATTCAGGACTGTTTGCTGCTGTTCTGTATTAAATATTATCAAATCTTCGCTAACCATGTTCAGGGCAGACTACAAACATCTGTGTGATTTGAGAGCTGGAATGCTCTAGATTTAGATCATCTCAGGAGATTATCCAAACACAGAGATGTTTTGAAGGGAAAAAGAACAGGAGAACTATTAAAAAAAAAAAAAAGAAGCAGATTTTAAAATCATACTGATGCAGGTCCACTAGAAAGGGATTGCGTTTCTAACAATAATGCTGCATTCCTCTGAAGTCAAAAAGGGGAGGATGGGATGCAAGATGAGTCTTGGCTGCGCATGAATTTTTACATGGATTAGCCCTCAGTCAGTTGCTAGAATTCAACTAGAAAAAGATAAATGACCAAATCGTACCACCAAAGAAACCAGACCCCGTGCTGTCCTGGGTTCCAGTGTTCTCCCTGAGTGAGGTGCTTTCTATTTCCTGACAGCACGTGCTAGTTTTCTATTACTGCTGTAACAAATCATGGTGAACTTAGAGGCTTAAAAGACCACAAGTGAATGACTCTACGGTCTTAGAGTCTATAGACTGACACAAGTTTCACCACTCCTAGATCTGTAGGGAGAGTTCTTTTCTGAAGGCTCTAGAGAGAATCTATTTCTCATTTTTATTTTTCCCCATCTTCTAGAAGTCACATAAACTGATTTGTAGGCCTCTTCCTCTATCTTCAAACCCAGGAAAAAAATAGCAGCCCTCTGACCTGTTTCCATTGTTTTGTTTCTAACCTCCTGTTGTCCACTTTTAAATACCCACAGTGGGCCTAGCCCTGCACTACAAGAAAAAAAAAAATTCTCCTTATTTTAAGGTCAGCTGATTAGCAGCCTTAATCCCTCTTTCCCGTGTAGTCTAACATAGCCATGGATCCAGGGGATTAGGCTGCAGGCCTTTTGGGAGTCCATGGTTCTTCCATACAAGGTGTGTGAATTTAAAAGCAAGAGAAAAGTCTGAGGCTCCAGCTGAACGTGCTGGAAGCCTTCCTGTGAAGTTCTGGATTGGAATGGGAGCGGTGACATGGTAGCACCAGAGCCTACACTTTCGGAGGAGAGGACCCCTTACATGCTCCACTTTATTTCAGTGTCTGAAATGTCGTGTGGTCAGAGTGGAAGGCCGGCTTGCTCACTGAAAAATTCTGGGATTTCGGGTCTGCTTTTAGCCAGTTACACTTGAAATGTAAACCACAGCCACATAGAAACAGACTGAGCCGTGCCAGTCATGGAACGTGGACAGACAGTATGAGACGCTTTGGTTTTTATGACATCGTTATGCTTGCTCTAAGTGACATTCATAAGAGTTGTAGCCCCCGCAGATGTCTTCACTGTTTGATGTGTCTCGCTTTTGAACTATGGTTCCGTCATGCTCAGAATTGTCCCTGTGCTGCAAAGCCATCCCCGGACAGCAGCACCACTTTGCAAGGCCTCTGCAAGCCTGGTTTGTGGTGGGGAGGACACCTGTTTTAACTCTTGAGCACATGCGGCGCCTACGCGTAGGGACCCGCCGTGAGGGCTGGGAGCATCAGATGTTAACCACATGCACCAAGCCTGTTAGAAGGCAGAGCTTTTGCGATGTGTTTTGACACAGTGCTTCTGTTTTTACTCGTGGATGAAAGGAGAGCAGTCACCCTCTGAGTTCTCCACAGTCTACTGTAGATACCAGTTGTGTGTGTGAGAAAACCAACCACTGCCTCCAAACAAGGGCGTAGCATATGGTGTATGTCACCATCCCTCCAACAGAAAAGCCCTTGTGTATCCGTGAAGATTACATAGAAACAATAAGAAAGCATCACTTGGCCCCTGTTCACAGACTGCACAAATTTAAAGACAAGAATTCCTTTGGCCTCACCTTTTGGCTCTTGAAGTTAGGATTCTCTATCCTCTCCCAACAAATGTGCCCGCATTGCCAGGGAAGGGCAGAAGTTTCATTGAGCCCTGCCTGTAGCCCGGCTGTAAAACCCTTTCTTTGCTCACAGCAGAAATAGCGAAGAAAGGGAAGACTGGGTGTCGTAGACTAAACCAAGCCGAAAGATGGGCTTAGGGATCTCCATTCTCATGCGCATCTGCAGGGTGAGCGTGGCCACGCAGAAATCTGACGGTCACCACTCGCACGCATCCATCACTGCGCCCCTGCCCGTGAACTTGTCAGACGGTGCTCCCCAGCCCCAGACAGTGGGCGAGACGTCCCAGCTGTCCGCTTGTTAGCAGCACACGTGCATCTGAGAAAGACATCTGCGGGACCAAGCCACCCCAGCTATGCCAGGGCTCCGCAGTGCTCTGAGTCTTTCCTTCAACAAGGAATTTCACATCTTGCCTTTCAGTGAGAAGAAAATGTAAGCCAGCGCATCGAGAGTTTACAGCAGTCTCCCCGGGACAGTGTATGACAGAATGGTATTCCCCGGGAAGCGTGTCAGGCTGAACTGTTAACCCTGAGGTTCTGGACTCCAGCCTGTGCTTGGGATTTATGCGCAGTGGGGAAGAATGTGTCTAGTTTTGCATTTAGCATCTAGCTGAGCATTTCTGAGGCTGGTCTATCTAATGAGACTTGTGGTTTCCAGCTGGAATCGAGCACACCCAGCTCTTGATTCTTTACTGTGGATGCAAATCTCTCTGATGTAATGTAATTGCTTGGCTTTTGGTCCCTTACATCAGAAGGTAGGTTTCGTGATTCAGTCCGCAAGGGACTGAGCTCACTGTGGATCGAGCCCTTTTGCACAAATTGCATGTACACTCACCTGGTTTCTCATTCGTAAATGTACATCTCAAAGGTGACTGGTAACTCCCTGGTCCCCAAACCTGATGGCTTTTTCTGGGTTTCTGCCACCTCCTCGTGTGCGCGGCGATTACTACCCAAGATGCTTTGTGCTCGTCATTTGCTCTCTCTCTCTCTCTCTCTCTCTCTCCTTCCTTTTGTTAATTTCATTTGCATGTCTCTAATTTCTACTCGTATACAGACAACTCCCAGATTGCCATTTAGAACACACTCCCTAACTTTTAGCCCCGTGCCTTAAATTGCTTCCTAATACCCAAACCAGCCACTGCCCCTGGTCCTCTACTTGCCGAACTTTGTGTTTGGCACTGGGGAGAGGTCTCCTTAGAAACCACCCGCTTCCAAGACACCGCCATGACTGCATTCTTTGCCTGCATCCGAATACATTAGGGTAAGATGCCAGCGCTGCTCCTTCCTCGTAACCCAAAACCGTCCTCCCCGTGTTCAGGCAGGCTTCACCAGGGTTGGGGTTGGGGTGTTTCATTGTTTTGTTTGGGTTTGGGATTGGCTCTTTTTCATCTAAACCTTGGAATGTGTGACTTTTATCTTCCTACTGAGTTTTTTTCTTTTCTCTTTAATGGTTCTGGGGATTGAACCCAGGCTCTTAATGCTAAGCTCCCCAACTCTTCAATTTTTGTTTGTTTTATTTCAAATCAGGGTCTCCCTACATTGCCGAGGCTGAGTTCTAATTTGCGATTCTCCTGCCTCAGCCCCCCAGAGTGCTGTGATTATAGCCATGTGGCCCTGTGCTCAGCTCTTGCTCCTGATTTAAGTGTCACTGTCATGTCAGTGTGAATAACGCTTGAAACTGTATCCGTAATTCTGCTCGTTCTACAGTTCAAGACTCACATGCTCAACTTCTAAGTATTCACATCAGTATTCTTCCAATATTTCCAGTGTCGAAAGCAAAATTGCTAGTCTCTTTTTTTCCTAAGCCTTTATCTTGTTTGATTATCCTCTGAAGAATGGAATGGCCGTGCCAGGGTGTGTGTGTGTGTGTGTGTGTGTGTGTGTGTGTGTGTGTGTAAGCACCTTCACATTTTGGGAAATGAATGAGTTAACGTGTTGAGTTAATCATCAGTGGTCCTTCTCTCCACCGACCCTGCTGTCAACACATTCCCCAGGCACCAGGGCCGGCTCGCTCCATTCTTCAGGGTCCTATTTCTTCCCAAGTGTCTTGCACTAACTGACTGGGTTGCCCATTTATTAGGCACTTGTGTGGGTAATTTCATTTAATCCCTAAGACAAAACTGTGAGGCAGGCACTGGGGTAAGTTTCTGTATTTGCAGCTGATAAAACAGTTGCTTATGTTAGGAAATTTTCTCCGAGTCACCTAGCTGGACAGAAGCGGAGCTGATGTTTGAGTTCAGGTAGCTCCATTCCAGATCTTAATCCCTTCTGCTGCTCTGACCAGAGTGCTGATTGTCTCTCCACCGAGGCCCCTGCCGGTTCTCCTCCCACTTGGCCTCTTCCGGTTCTGGGGTTCTGAAATGCCCCCTTGCCCCACGTGTCTGCCTCACGGGATTTGAGTGTGGCCCCTGAAGATGCCCGTGCCCCAGCATAACAGTGATGTGAGCTATTGAATCTTTACTGGGTGGCGCAGAGTGA